TATTATACTGTGCAGTACTATATATTCCACACAGTGGCTACATTTTCCTACCATGCGGTTATTGGAAGTTGTAGCACTGGCGGCGCCTTTGATCTGCCCACGCACCATACTACAAGTAACAATAATAATAGTGATAAATGAGATCTGATTGCCTTGCCCTGGCGACCTGTGCGACTTTTGAAATTTCATTTGATCCGCCCACGCACCACTACAAACCAATCAAAGCACTGTTGATTCGTAGATTACAGAAATTATTGCACTTGGGACAGTCTCGAGGAAAATGTAGCACTCGGCTTCGCCTCGTGCTACGTTTTCCTCTCGACCGCCCCTCGGGCAATAATTTCCGTAACCTACTCTCAACAGTGCTTTAACTAATACATGTACATACGTGTAAGTACATGTACATGCAAGAGTACAGTACATGTGCATGCATGGTCATACATGTACATGTACTCTATAGCCCTGTTTACACTACAAACCAGTTTGGATCAAAGCGGTTCAGAAACCAGCTCAATTGTGTCCACATGTAACTCTGGTTGAATCAGTTTACAATGCTACATTGTATACATAATACAGCTACTCCAGTACTTAAACCGGTTTGATTATCTCAAACCACCTCCTGAGGTGGTTTAGATAAGTCAGCTTCAAACTGCATTGAAATTGTCCACACGTAAACTGAGTTATTTCTAAACCGGTTCCAAACCGCTTTGAGGGCATAGTGTAAACGGGGCTTATGTTGTGTAGAAAGTTTAAACTGATTCCAATCAAATTTGAATTTTTTATAAATTTTAAAGTTGCTCTAAAATCAGGCCAAAGTCCCTCTACTATAGTACAGGGTCGTTGGCTAAATTTAGCAAAAATTAAAAAGGAGAAATTTCTCCATTTTAATAATTTTCCCTGATACGTATACATGTCCTTATGTTGTGTAGAAAGTGTGAACTGATTCCAATCAAAATTAAATTTTTAAAAAAATTTTAAAGTTGCTCCAAAATCAGATCAAAGCCCCTGTACTATAGTACAGGGTCGTTGGCCAAATTTTGCTCCATTTTAATAATTTTTCTGATACGTATACATGTTTTTATGCTGTGTAGAAAGTTTGAACTGATTCCAATCAAATTTGGATTTTTATAAATTTTTAAAGTTGCTCAAACTATTTTTGAGATTAATTAATTTTGACACAATACTGTATACTCATTTACTTGAAGCTCTGAGCATATTTTAGCATTCTTTCCTGCTAGATCGTTCACTCTTGCTTGCAATTTGGTTTTGGACTCATTAGCTTCTGCAAGATCAGCCTCTAACTTCTGATTAGCTTGCTGCAAAAAATCAACCTAAAAATTAAAATTAAAAAAAACATGTACTACATGTACATGTTTATACTGTACATGTTTATACTGTATGTAAACTTGTAGATTTGTACTACAATGTTGTTATCATTAATAGTATTTATTATTAGTAACAGTATGAAAACAGAAAAAACTTGCACATACATGTACATGTATATCTTTAAGCTAATATTTAGTATGCATGTACAGATGTACTATAAATACATGTACAGTACATGTACATTTGCAAGTACAATGTATTTTTGTCATACAGATACATGTACATGTACATGTACACATGTATTTATTGCAGATTACTATTCTATTCTACTATTCTATAATTTTCTCTCTCTCCCTCTCTCTCCATTACCTGTATGTTAAGATGAGCTGTCATTCTTTCATTGGTCTCAATCTTTCCCTCCATTGCCAGTGCCTCTGGTGGACGTCCTCCTCTTAACTGACCCGATAGACGCTCAATCTCATTCTCTCTCCTCTCAACCTTTAGAAGAAAAAAAATCCGGTCACATATACACATGTACATGTACATTAAAAGTAAAATTTCATTATTATTAATACAGTACAAGAACATACATGTACATGTACATGTACATACATGTACATGTATAATGTTGCATTTAAATTCTCATTATTAATACATGTACAGTGTACATGTAAATTGAACCCTAACCTGTCTTCTCAAATCTTTTATACTGTCTTTCATTTCTTTCTTCTCCTTTCCAATAGAATCCAGTGATCGCTGCATCTCAATCATCTTTTCCTCCGCCATCTTTAGAAGATCAACTACCTGAGGATCAGGCTCGGGCAGAACAGGGAGGAGCTTCCCTTTGGATGACGAGGGAGTGAGAACGGAATCCATTTCCATCCGCTGGCGACGATAGGGTAGAGTCTTCTTGCGCCCCCCTGGGGTCTGAATAATAGCGGCTTGAGAATTCTTTTCTTGTAGTTCAAGAATCCTCTCAGACTTCAATTGTGACTCTTTCTCTTGCGAAATGATCCGTTGCATGTATTGGTTGTTGAGAAACTTTAGGTCAGCATTTTCGTGTTCCAGACGCCTCATGCAGACTTTGAGTTCTTTGGTTCGCTGCTCCAGAGACTCCTTGAGTGCTAGGATCTGCTGGTGTAGAGCAACATTCTCTTGAGTTAGTCTACTGTTGTCTTGTTGGTAAGGCTCTACGTGTTTCTCCCATAAACCTTAGAGAGAGAGAGGGAGGGAGAGAGAGAGAGAGAGGGAG